TTTTAAAGCAACAGAAACACTAGGTGGCACGCCCGTGATTCTGTGAATCAGACACTACGGCATTATGAAATCACTTGCGCACCAAGTGGAAATTTAAAGGTAGCCTGCCACCTAAAACTCCCTTTCCCTTCCCTTTCAAACGCCTGCCACGCAGGCTAATTACAGTGACACCGGTTGTTCGTTTGCGCGCCACTTTGCAATATTGTCACGCAATGTTGGTATTTTGATTGGCAGTTTGCTCCGAGCAAGTTGCGATTCAAATTTCAATTTGCTGCTTGAGCAAACGGTTTCTCATATTGGAATATTGTGAGTTGACTGCGATGGCAAGCAACATTACCTCTGTTTCAAAGAGGGAAAGAGTAATTTCCCTCTGGTCGTCAGGCTATCGAAATAAAGAAATATGTTCAAGGCTTCATCTTTCACATCAAACAATATCCAATATCCAATATCCTTTCAAAGTTCCTGCAAAATGGGACGGCGGCTCCGGGAAAACCAGGATGGAAAGAACGCACAGTCGCTACTGCAAATGTGGTTGAATTTGTGGAGTATTGCAAGGTAGCTCCGTGGGTTGATAGTGATTGGTGCATTTCATGCATTACTCGAGGTCAGTGGACATCGATCTTTATTTTTTCGTGCTAAGCTGTCCTCTAACGGGTCCGCTGTGGTACCGACTGCTATGTTGTCTGATCGTGGACACACTCACGCTTCCAGAATCTCAATTTCACTATCACTATTGGATATTTATGAAATGGACTCAGGCGGGGTTTAGACTACAGGAGATTTTTCCGGATTCATAAATGTTTCCGGGTCATTTTACGGCATTCGGAATCGCAAGCGTTCACACACATCAGATAATCAGGTGTCGAGAATTTCATTTGTTTACCATTTCAAAGCACTGCCTTTTTTTAAATATCAAAATCCAAAGCGACTAGAATTCGCAACCATCATCACCAGACGACTTCTTATTCAAAGGAGATCCAGAACTTCGTGAGCTAACACTGCCGGGTGGTAAACTAGGCACTGTCGGATGTTATGACAAAGAGCCCTTTTAGACAAAGATATAGAAGGTATTAATTCATTCAGGGAAGACAAAATTTACTCACTAAACGATCATTATAACTTGCCGGCAAACTTTAAAGCGAAAAATCCGCTTCTGTCAGGGCACAGATTTTGAGTGATTATATCATTTGCTGTTAAAATCGAGCAGATTGCTGTCTTCTATTTGATCTGCAAACTTGGGCACAAAATTATCATCACTCTCAAATTGTTACCGTAATGGGGTTCATAAGATTGCCTTAACTTGGAGTGCATCCTTTCAACTAAACGACTCATCAATTTCCACTTTAAAATTTCAGCTCAATCGCCACTCAGAAGCCTCAAAAACAACCGAGATAAAAGCATGATAACATGAGGCACAAGAGAAACTTTGCGTTATGACTTTAATTTTAAAGTGGAAATTGACGAGTCGTTTAGTTCGAAGGATGCACTTTAAGTTATGAACCCCATTACGGTAAGTATAAATATTATTCATTGTTCCGTAACTGGCTGCATCTGTTTTTTGAAAGAGGTTTGGATCAAAGGTTAATGTGCTGTGCCAACTGCAAACTTGGGCACAAAATTTTCATCACTCTCAAATTGTTATACCGTAATGGGGTTCATAAGACTGCCTTAACTTGAAAAGCATCCTTCCAACTAAACGACTCGTCAATTTGCACTTTAAAATTTGAGCTCAATCTCCACTCAGAAGCCTCAAAAACAACCGAGATAAAAGCATGATAACATGAGGCACAAGAGAAACTTTGCGTTATGACTTTATTCATCAAAAGGGGTTTGTGTTCGAGACCTTAATCGTGTCATGTACTCATGGCAGTGCTGCTATTTCAAGTGAGTTTTTACGTAATCTGATTTAGGCCCGTTTCAAACGTCGTGCTACTGCCTTGCCGAACTCGAATTTTCTGGCTGTCCCAGGGAACACATTGAAGTTGACGTATTATTAGAAATAGTGAAGAGGCATTAAATGCATTTTTGGACTGGAGCACAAAGATTGACGAAATACTAACTAAACCGCGGACAGCTTTTCGTGCCGACATGAAAACTTATCCGGTGTAGTATCAGCAGTATGAACACCTATCCGATATGTGACACTTAAGAGATCGGCACGGCGCGGCTTCGCCCCGTTACACAACTCGCGCCGAAATTGCCGTGTTGGAGAAAAACCCCCACCTGGTATGGTTTCTGTGCAGGCGCAAAAGCCATTCGGTATAGTGTGATTATAGCCTTAATTATCGCATCAGGAATCTTCGTCAGCGTCCTGGGAGGTCAAACACTTGACGTTAAATTTGCAATTCTTTTTCTCCGCTATGGCTACTCAGTTTTGTAATCAGGAGTTGGAAAAGCTAGAGCAAGTTGCAAACCATCATGGGGCTTTTATTTTGACGTACTGCGTGTTAAACTTGATTTTCGCTTTGGTGACGTCTCTCGGAAATATCCTCGTAATTTGTGCCCTTTGGAACGCCTCATCGATTCCAGCTAATGTAAAGAAGTTGTTGCTTAGTCTCGCTTTTTCGGATCTTTTGGTGGGAGTAATTTCGCAGCTAATGCTCGGAGTCATCGCCGGAGTCGTACAAATACAAGTGAACAGAAACAAAAACCATGACTTCCTCTGTCCGACAGTTCTAACAATTTGTTATTTCGCCATTTTTTTTTTGGCTGGTACTTCATTTTTTCTTATAATCGCTATCGCTGTGGACAGACTTCTTGCTATCTCTCTTCATCTCCGATACCGGGAGCTTGTCACCTCAAACCGCGTTATTATTGCTCTGGTTTCTGTATGGCTAACTAGTGGCGTAACTTCGTCGGTATACGTTTCTCTTCATAACAACCATGAGCTGGTAGTTGCATTAGTTGTAATTGTCGGACTTCTTTTGACAACTGTCGTATATACTCATATTTATAGAGTTGTTAAAAAACATCAGAATCAGATACACTGTCAGCTTCGGGTTTCAAATACTCAGGCAACCGAGTTGCTCCGTGAAAGAAAGTCGGTGTTTAACGCTCTTATTGTGTATGTTGTTTTTCTTGCATGTTATTTTCCTTACTTATGCTTGATGATATTGATAACAGCTAGTGGACCAACAACGGCGATTATAATGGCTGAGATGGCTGGACTTTTGTTAGTTTTTCTGAATTCTATGTTAAACCCCTTCATTTATTGTTGGCGATATCAAGAAATTAAGGAAAGTGTGAAAAACGTGTTGAAAAAATTAATTATCTTGAATTTCCAGGCTTCGACATAAGTTTAGCAAGAGTCCACACCAATAAAAAATGGTATGGTGAACAGTCCAAGCTCTTAATGTAGTATATTTGTCCATAAGTTAGCTAATCTATCTAGAATTGTATTGATTAGTATTCTGTTTTGTTTTTTTCTTTTTTGAGTTTTTCTTGTTTGTTTGACGGCAATTTTTTAAATTATTCATACGGGCCATCTGATATTCGTGCAGTTCCTACCACCAACGAAGAGAGAGATTGACATTTAATATATATATCAACAAGAGAAAGACAAATTATAGTTGTGTCGTCATTTAAATTAAGCAAAATGTTTAAATTACACGAGGCATCTGCGATTCTTGCTCCTACCACCACCGAAGAGATAGATTAATATTTAACGATATATGTTAACAAGAGCAAGTGTTAATTGTTACAAGATAAATTAACATTTGATAATCCAATGTGTCGCCATTTTCTTAAATAGCTTGCAAATAGTGTAAAGGGACAAGGCATAAACGTATTATATACATCATACTAAAATCAGAGAATCTGGAACCTAGTCCTTGATGGTATAGTGGATATAGATATAGATTACAAAGCGTATGACTTGAGTTCAAAGCCTACCCCGTTTCATTTTTCTTTCTTATTTCAATAGAAAAGTGATGGTGAATTTTAAGCCTGGTTAATAAAGGAGAAAGATATAATCTTTCAGTTACTGATACAGGCGGCTTGGAAGAAACCATCCAAGTACTGTATTCCCAACAGGAGTCGAACCTGTGACCTACTCACGGTTACTACTGCAGATGCTCTACCACTGAGCTACAGGAAACTCGTAGCAAGCTTGTAGGAGCTGAGGACACAAAACTAGGTTCACGCGACAAATGTTCGACTACTGTTAGAAGTACACGGATTTTTCCACCGAGTCGTCTGTGTCACTGAATAAAAATCATCTTGCTCTTCCTTATTTTATGCTACACAGTAACGTTATGGACATAAGTTTTTCTTCTTTTATTTTTTTATATTATAGCTTGCGACGTACAATCTTAAACATAATTGTAAAGAGGCGAGCTGGTAAAAACGAATTAAACAGAAAGTAGACTTCACTTTGTGGTTTGAAAAGCATGGGTAGTGAGATATCGCTACTTATAAGGTGTGGACTTTGATGTGATTCGCATTCGTCCGGATAAAAGTAGTTTTGAATAGGACTGTCGTTGAAAGTACCTGACGTTTTAAAAACCTGTACTTTAAATACATTGAAGCCTACATGAGACGATTATCTTTCATCTCACGTCCATGAAAGCCAATTTGCCCTATTGGGACTATTAGTAGCCCCAGTTAATTGCCAGCGAATCAATCGACAGGAAAAATGAAGAATTATATTCCCGGAGAATTAAACATTTTGAACAAGAACTAGAAGTTGTAAATTGAAGTATTAGGAAGTTGTGCTTTTCGGTTTGTCGAAAAAAAATCATTCTTCGCTGGACAGGAGTATTGGTACCAGCCCATTTCAGTTTTATATGGTCGACAAAACAAGTCACTACCTCTAGTGCTGGACTTCGTCTAACCTGCAAAAAAACGACCCTTCGCGAAGAAACCGTCGGTTGCGTCGCGAAATGTCAGCTGTTTTCATGCTAGAATTTTTTTTCAGTGGCCTGTACAATTCAGGAAAGGGTTTCAAACAGTTCATAAACAAATTTATCTAAAATAATTCACCAAAATAATTTTATTAATTTTCAATTCTTCTGTTTCTTCTTTCTTTTTCTGATGTCTTCACTGCCAGTCTCAGTTAGTTCCGTACCACCATTCGTCTGGCTGCTCTGAAAAGTTTTGCCTTCAGTTTCTTCAAGTTTTCTCTTCTTGTTTTTACGTTGATTTGTTGTTTTTTCGCTGTTGGACCTGACAAAAACGAAACCAAATTTCACATCAACTGAAGTAATCACGAACGGCAATCAACATACGTTGTTACACGAAACATAAAGTACCGGGAAACAAAGAGATAAAATTGCAACAGACATATCCACGATAACGTCACTTTTAAGCCATGTGCGAACGGACGCAACAGCTCCCAACCTTGTTGGGAGTTGTTGCGTCTGTGCTGGCCTTGAAGTGCTAACGGATGCAATAACTCCCAAATATGTGGGGACCTGTAGTGCATCGTGGGAAGGATACAACCCATAATAGACCTTTTTACCGATACGGCGGCCATATTGAATTAATTCGATTTAAGAAGTATTATAGAATACCCAGGGGGCATGAGCACATTTCGTTTGTATTTTCGAGCGCTTTTGGGACATTTTTTCGTAAAGTTTTCTTAGAATAAGATTGTAATGGGAAAAAAGATCATTGTGCCGTGTTTGGATTCAATAATGATCGCCTTTTTCCCGAGAAATATACAGACAAAGACCATATTTCTAATACTAAACTAGACAAAGACGATAATTTTCTTTCTGGGGCACTCCTGATGAGTGGATCTACAGAGCGTTTTCTCTTAGAATGTAAAAAAATGTCTTTCCAGAAGAAAAATTCTTCAAATCTGACAGGATTAGTTTGGGACACCAACATGGCCGCCATTTTATTTTCTAGAGACACTGAAATGGCGGACGTGACGTCACGTGAAAAAGATCTATTGTTGATCATTTTTGAATTCAAAGTATCAATTAAAAACAGAAAAATTTACTTTTTGGCTTTGCGTCAATTTACTTTACTTACCCTGTCAAAATGGAGCGGATTGTACTACAAGTGCTCTTGATGTCAGATGACTTTTTGAATAATTCACTGTCTAGAATTTGAGTCACTCCACCCATAAGTTTATCGTTCTCTAAGAAGGCAGACGCCTAAAGAAAGAAGCATAACAACCAAAACATTAAACATGACCTTATATCCAAGAAGATAAAGAGGTTCCCAGTCAGGAGTACATACAAAAAGCGGTTTGGAACATATCTCAGTGATAGGCAAGCATCTTGACAAGCCACAGGTACAACGCAAGCGGCTTGAGCAGAAATTAAAAGAAATCAGAAACGTTGAGGTGATGTTCAAAACAAAGTTTAATCGAAATTAAATTCTTATCCACACTCAATAACATCTCACAGCCAGCAATGTTTAAACGACGGTGTCAAATGATCTCAATATCAGCTCTCAAACAATGATGCGAGAGTGGTGGCACGTTTTGTTTTAGGTTTGTGATATCTTTCTTTCAACTGCTGCAGTTTGCTACCTCTTTGGTGTTCATTAATTTTACTTAACTAACTTTGTAAGTTTTTTTTCTTTCGAACGAAATGAGTTTCATTTCCATAATAACTAAATTTCATTTTCATATCCAAAATATCATGAAAGAGCCGGCTCAATTTCCACCACTCTCTCAGGTCCGGTCTTGTTTCTTCCCGAGGGGGAGGGGATGGGGAGCGCGGGGAGGAGCGCGGGCTCATTTGCCGAACAGCGGCTGGTATCGCGCCTAGAAAAGAGCTCCTCTAAAACCTAAGAGACATATACTTGGGAAAGCGTTCTCACATTTTCTGTCTTCTTGGCTTCGTTGATAAACTTCGTTGTGAGTTTCAGCAGTTCGCGAACATGTTTCGCCTTCAGCTCAGTATCGGATGTAGCGGCCTTTCTCAGAAGCTGACCAAAAAAAAATTAAAAAAAATCAGTAATCCATGTGGCCCTACTCTACCACAAAGCAGCCTGACAAGATAACCGACATTTCTTCAATTTCGTCACGCCCCAACTGGTTTCCCCGCGGAATGACGTCTGAGGGACAAGCGCAGAAATTCCGTACTGATGACGTGTCACTATCCGTGCATTCTGATTGGTCGCACCGCGAAGGAAATTTTCTTCAACGAATCAGAAGCACTACCCAGATCTGGGCAGTGACACGTCTTCAGTATGGAATTTCTATGCTTGATCCCCAGGACGTCGGTTATTTTCTAAGGCTAGCCACAAAGTGGCAGAATGAAACTTTTAAAAGCATGCAGGAAGCCATCGATGAGAAGCACTCACCGAGTTAAGCGTTGTTTGTAAAGAGGGAGCAATTTCTTTGATATGTCCCGTCCGCTCTTGAGTCTACGGAAAAGAGAGGAAATTAGTTATGTAATAATGTTTAATAATAATTAATAATGTTAATAATATAATGAGTCAGGCATGTCCGAGAAAATAATACCAAGAAAGTATAAGAAACTTAAGATATGATCCTGGTGATTAATTGGTTGGTTCAAAACACAGGCAGTTTAACAGTATCCGGCCTAACGGTAAACTTGCAAAATCCATGAAGTTACATGACTTTGCTACAGGCTACAAGATTTAACTTTCTTAATTCAATACTGCGTACAGCTCAGCGCTTTGTGATCGCTTGCGTCTCTACACTTTTACATTTTATGTAGATTTTAAACCGCTACAAAATGGGGTTTATTGTACTTCACACTTCATAGAACGGGCGTCTTCGTTATTATTTTCCAAGTGAGAGTGTTGTTAACTTACTTTTTGTGACATTAACTGCATTAGCATCGCACAAGCTTGGCACTACAATTGAAAGTAGAATAATTAAACCAAAACATATTCTGAAGAAACCACTGTTAAGTAATGCGTCAGTATACTTGGACTTTCGTATACTTTTGCTATCCAGAGGTCTGAACCAACGAAGTAAAAGCCACCAAACCTAAAACTTACACTAAAATAATCTCAAATGATGTAAAGAGGGTAGGGCATGATAGTAGATAGTTATTAGGCTTTCCAAAACTTTCACGGAGTTGACTATCACTACGATTTCTTTTCTTCCAGGGAAAAGATGTTGATGAAATACAGTGAAACTGGTATAAAGAAGACGAATGGGTCATTTTGTTTTAAAAATTTCCTCCCTTATTTTATGTAAAACGAACCTTTTTTCAGCCGACACCCACAAAGGGCCTGCGGGTATACAGGTTTTCAATATATTCTATTTTGAGGGAATATCGCCAAATGCCTTTCAAGTGGTAAGCAACCTACAAATGTACTTTAGGCGAGAAAATCCTGAATAACCTGTGTACAGACCCCCCTCCCCTCAGGAAACATCGGAGAAGGGGAGGGGAGGGGGGTCTGTGCACAGGCTAACCCTGAAGGACAATACAAAAATTACCTTCCTGAAGTTATTTACTGCAGACTCGAGATATTTAACCAGATTTGGAGCTAAACACCAGCCAAGATGCTAAACAAAAATAAAGCAAACCAAATCAATCTGCTTGCAAACGACAGGCTTAAGAACTCTGTCCTTATGTATAAAGTAATGGCACTGTTCATAGATTCAAAGCGAGGTAGTTTAACTCACCGGAAAGCGATTAATCAGCTGAGTGAACAGCACGGGATGAAGATGTGTACTCCTGAGGGAAAAAGGCCAAGTTAATATAAAATGTTACATTTATTTCCGCCGAGGCCTCGGAAGTTCTATTTTCGTTGCAACATCGTTCTCAGGGTCTGAGGTTGTTTTCGCGCGATTCCACTCAACAACAAGCGTTGCGCGAAGACCATTCCTAGTGTAACAGGACCTTAACGAAATAAGGCAGTGTAATTTTCACCTTTTTTCCATGAAGTCCTTGAGCGCCTTGTTGAGCACCGCTGACAGCCTTTGAGCATCTAAAAGGCTCCCCTGTACAAAACACAAAATACAGCAGGGCAACATGAACTATACCCCATAGGTGTAGCGAGAAGAAAAGATTATCTTGAAGAACGAGGTCTTATAGTGGCTCAACATGTTCAATTTAATTTTCCTTGGCTTATGTCCATGATAATCGACAACAATTCGAAAAAAGGACTAGTTGAACTTTAAAGGGAACCTCCACCCTTACTACAGAATAAGTTTAAATCGAACAAAATTATGTTGATAAACAAATTTGTTCGAAATTTGTCCTTAAAAAAAGTGTCTATATCAGGAAAAGTGAATTTTAAAATCGCTTATTTTCACTTTCAAATTTCGCGGGCGCCGCCATCTTGAATAATTGTGACGTGTTACGGTTGCTCTATTGTTCTGACACAAAGAGTGTTTGTTTAATAACAATAGGGCAACCATAACACGTCACAATTATTCACGATGGCGACGCCCACAAAATTTGAAAACAAAAATAGGCGAATCTAAAAGTTATTTCTTTCGGATACAAACGCTTTCTTTAAAAATATTTTAGATTGACTTGACTGTAACAGTTATTTCCTGTGATTTACAGTTATCTTTTTGTTTAAGTGGAGGTTCCCTTTAACACTCACATCTTCCCTCGCCGACACGTGGTGAGAAAATAAAAGACCATACTTACTTTCGTTTTATCCATGTCTTCATTTGTTTTTCCTTCTCCTTTCTGAGTTGTATAATGAGTAGATTCAGGTGACCGTGAGCCTCTTAATACTCGAATCTGCAGAGAGACAATGAGCACAAACGCTGTAGGCACAATCCGTTCTTAGATTACAGACAGTACAGTAAACAAGAATTTGTTGTCTCCTCAGAATATCGGGGTTAGCCTGAATTTCATCCGATTATTTCGAGTCGTTATTACTCCCTCAGTTGAGAGGAGAAAACGACTCGAAGCAATTCGATGAATTTCAGGCTATATCGGGGTTGGGTAACAAAGGTAATCAGTGAATACTGATTTAACCTTTAAAGAACAGATTTCAGCTACATCGAAAACACAAAGTCTCAATCACATCACCAGTTTACCTAATGAGCTGCAATTGTATCTTAAACACTGCGAGAACCCTGGTGAACGAGTTAAAGCTACCAAAGACTGATTCTGATGACAAAAAGTGCATGGAAATGCTTGGGAAACAAATCAACTTTATGAGCCCAGTAGGGTTTTTATAGAGAACTCCTCCGTGAAAAATACATGCGCTCTATTAATTGAAGTAAAATTGTGGGGCGAATAAACATCAATAAACGTGGAATGTTCTAAACGCTCTACACTGTACAAGACTGCGAATGTATGAAAATTCCCTTCCGAGAAAGATAAAATAAAGTATGTTTGTGAAGAAACAAATGTATAAACAAACAAAAACATCACGAAACCAAAGAGCAGCTTGCGATTTCAAGCCGATCGCAACAGTACAGTTGTACTTACCAGGTATAAGAAGCCTAGGGATACAAGCGTTACAATCGAACTTGAAGGAGCTGTTCAAACAATACATACAACATCGTTAACAGGCTTGACGACAGAAGAACAGGAATTAATAGGCCATTTCCGAGTTTCAAAAACTCTCGCTTTCAAAATGAGGCTAAGTGCAAAACCGTTCTTGTGATAAATATCAGAAGCGGCTTGGTAAATACACCACTAGCCACCTCTACTTCAGTGAATAATTGTTTTAGTATATACTAAAACAGTGAGATAATTGAGCACAAAAATGAGGATTTTTAACTCATTTACCGCAGTTGCCAACGATTACAATTTTGGCGCGCACTGACCGAACGGTCGTCAAATTTTCATATCAATGCCTTTGCACTTAGCCTCGCTCTGAAACAGACGCTAGGGGCAACTCAGAAACTGCCCTTTGTAAATGAGTGTAAGAAACGCGCAGAAGGAGTGACTCATGAAGTTCCTCTTTTTTCTCTAGCAAACCTTTTGATCAACCTCCAGCCATTATGGCAAAGAGATTCAAAACCAGGCCTTAATTAAATGCTTCAATTCTAAGAGCAAGAGAGTTCGGGAAGTTCACTCAATATTTACAAGTACAATGTAATGAACACTCTTACCGGACATGGCTTTTTCAACCAAGTGGTCTATTTTATCATGAATGTATCCTGGATCGAGAGCAGAAACTGGAGGAAGCTGCAGAACAAAAGATAACGCAAGTAGAACCGATTAAATACGAGATCGTTCGCCAAATGACGAAAACAATCTAAATATATATAATTTTTAATTTTTACATCTAACTGTTGATCTTGGAGTCAGTCATGCAATCTAGGGTGCTTTGATTAATTGCTGTAGTCACACTGGAAGGTGAAATATATATTTATGTTTTGTGTTATTGTTAAAACAATACACTGAGCAATGAAGAAGGAAGTCCTTAAGAACTGATAGATCACCTCTTTTAATGTGCAAAGCTTGTTTGTAAACAGCCCTTGAGCTTTTTCGCCTAATGGACGGAAATTCTTGGAATTAAGAGATGACCAGGCTGCATCCAACAACGGTTCGATTAACTCCTGAATGGAAAGAAAGGGTATTGTCAGTTATGTTGTCATTTTGACAGTCCTACATACCGGTTCGCCCACTTAGTAGCGAGCAGGAGTAGCGGGCAGAAAATGGAAACAAAACCAGGCAAATGTCAGACTCATAACTAGTCGCTATTAATGTACGTGATTTCGGATTGGGAGAAGATTGGGGTTAAACAGAGCCACGTTGGGGTTATGGGAAGGGAAAATAGCCACTGGTTTTCTTCCCGTAGCTTCTGTGTGACTCTTCACTCCAAAACTCGAATGACTAACGACGGGTTATGAATCTGGGAAAACACCAGTATGTAAAAGATAAAAGGTTCAATGAAACTTGGAAATTAAAGCTGTTGTACTCACCAAAACGAGGGGATTTGAAGCTTGCTTTTTAATAAATATTTCGATTATGTCAAGAACCCTAGAAAAGAATGAAAATTATAGCACTTGAAAAGAAAAAATCGTCCAAACGGGAGAAATTAGACCATAGCTACCTTTACTGCCTTATCTATCTGTCATTGTATTTAATATGCAAGTATAAATCGGAGCGCCGTTTTTACACCTACTACCGAAAACGGGAGGGCCACTTCTTTATCCATTCAAGCCACGCAGAGTTCTAGCCGTTGGCACGTAAAGAAGGAACCTTGGTCTGGCTCCCCGGTCTGGACCTGAGGATTATACCAGCAACCTCGCGCTTTACAGCTTTACAACCCTAGTCCGGCGCTCTACGGACTGAGCTTATCCTCTAGAGGTCAAAAAACTGATATAGCCTGGGCCCACTTCCTAGAATGATGGTTAAGTTTAACCCAGGATTAAGCAAAATTTTAAGCACTGTTAAACCTTTACTCTGGGACACAGTAACGATTTACACAAAATGTTACTCTAAGCAATGCATAGGAAGGTAAATGCAAAAAGTGGAACAAAATCTTAATGCTGGAATAGCGCTAATCGGCCTCTCAGTAACTGGGCCCTGAACTTTAAAAAGGAAGATATGACCTAATAGCGGAGAGCTTTAGATTTGAGGACGAGAACGAGTACGAGTACGAGTACGAGTACGAGATTTAACTTAAAGTTTTTGCGCATGTTCTTATTTTTGCTTTTTTTCATCTATAAAGTTAGTACGATCATTTATATTGAAGGAGGTTAAGTCCTCTCCCGATAGCAAAATCAGGATAAAACTTCTTGCATTTGATAACTTGTTCCCGCCACTACAACATTCTCGCTAAAACTCGTCGTAGATTGACGACGGCTATCACGTTTTCCCGCCACAATGACGCTGGTTCAGGCGCGAGCATTACTCAGTATTGAGAAAATCTCGTACTTGTAGTCGTCCTCGTCTTAGAATCTAAAGCTCTCTAATCTTAGAATGGCTCAACAGATCTCATAAACCCAACAACACAGAGTGTTCACTCAGTTGCTTCTTTTATTGCTTCTTCAGCAGAACACCCGTATAGAAAGCAAAAGTTATGTTCGTAAAATACCTTAACTTGAAATGAAGAACAATCTTAGTGGCATCTGAAGAGAGAGAATGACGTACACATTAATTAAGCTAAGACGCAATGGGTGGCAACAACGTCTCGTGCAGATAGGAAAAAGGCAGTTGTTTACACCGAGAAGAACACAAAATCTATACCAATCATCCTAGGCTTCTGGAAAACTGCCTACCTGCCCCTCTCCTAAGTTAACATTAACACTTACTTCTGACTTAAAGTAAAATGTTGGCTTAGGGGAAGGGTAGGTGGGCAGTTTCCCAGTAACCTAACTTGTTCCAAAGAGCTCACCTATTTTCTTATTCTTCTCCTTTTTAGCTTGTAACTGAGTTTTAAAAACAGCAGCCAGGGCATCATCAAGCTGCATCATGGCTTCATCGTCTAAATCTTCATCACTACTGTTTCCCTACAAAAGAATATCATCATTAGCCCTTGCATAAAAAAAACTACCAATCACTACCTCCCGTTAAACTCCTAGAGACAATTACAGAGTCATGTACTGTACCTCTAACTTTTGATTTAGATCTGTGGGTGAAATCCTGTGTTGTGACCACTTTAAATGGAAACATCTTAGCACAACAAACAAGCCTTAAATGATCTTTTTGCTTTCGTTCTGACCTACTTAAGTAAGAGGTTCTACAAGGAAGAAGCCCTTACGCCATTCAAACTGTGGTCCGTTATCATCTACAACCCCATAAAAAACCTACCTATGTATCAATCATTTCGGTTCTTCCTCTTTAAGAGATATAAAGAGGCCATCTAGCCATTCCTGACGCCATTCATTTTGTAAAATATTCGCAAAAGTCTCGCCATTTTCTTTTCATTTTGTTTTGAAAAAAGGACAACCCTCGGTCTGACACAGTATACGAACCTCTTTATTCACGTCAACCACTGCCGGGCCAAGAGCAGCTTGTAGCTCAGCTCTGAACGCTTCGTCCACATCCCCGCTAGCATCTTGCTCTTCATCTGAACTGCTGCCTTCTTCATCGTCATCTTCAACATCACTGTCAGTGTCATCCTTTGTACTATTCACAGTTTCCTACGTTATACGTGTACGTTTATTGGCAATGAAAGACGAGATAGCGTTATCCCATAGGGCAATTCGACACCACACCGACCCAGTCTCTTGCTCAAGTTAAAAAAGTGAAAAACTGGGTACGATCCGCGACCACAAAGAATCTTGGGATCGTTTAAAGGGACAGCATAAAGGTCAACAAACATGACGCACTTTAAGTGCTAAGTTCAAAACTACAATTATGATAGTTTCAGAAAGGCTAGCCTGCGAGCAGGCTCTCCTATCTGGGCAAGCGAAGCGAGCCTCGTGAGAACGCGCGCCCCTCGCAGGCTACAGAAACGCCACCTATCTTTACTATTACAGAATTCCCAGAGACCCTAATGCAGAAGGTACAGTCTGTATACCTTCTTCAGTCAGGATAACCTGGAGAGCGTCTGTAACAGGTTACCTGCTTTTGCTGTCTCTCAAAACGAACCTTTGCGGTCATAAGTCGCACCGGTCCCCCGCTCGTTTAGAACATGGTCAATTATATCAAAAGCATGGCAATTAACTAACAGTTACCTTTTCGTTGCCCTCCTCGTCTTCCATGTCCTCCTCGTCTCCTTCATCAGCTGAAAACAGTATTAAAAGTTATTAGAAAAATCATTCATTGAGTTTCACTGATGCTTGTGAGTAAAACAACAGAGAGATTTAAAGTCACGTTTACGGAAAGCGGAAAACGTCGATTATACGTCACTAGTTTCTATTGTTGTTATTTTGATTCTACAAAACCTACCTGACTCATCGACTATTTCAAAAGTTTCACCCTCATTTCCCTTTCTAAAACTCTAAAAACATCAAAAAAGCACGAAATTAAACAACTGTCAACAACAGTTTAGCTGGAAACAGAGGTAACTTGGACAACAATTGATGATGTAAGCAAGTGGACGTTAAGCTGCAAAGTGTCTCATTCGAAAGAAATTTGGGAGTCGGGAACATGACACTATTAATACAGCCTTGTGTCAAAACGTATTAATTAACAACTGCAATTTCCAACAACAGACAGCCACTCAAATGAATCCAAGAAACGCTTAAAAAAATTGGGTGTCACGAACTTTAGAGAGAAAATAACAGCTCTTAAAAGGAGCTGTGTCGCGGTTGGCTAGTTCATTTTCTTATAAAAACAAATTGCACTCCCTAATTTGCAATGAAAATTAGAAATTCCTTGTAAATGACAAATCACAACTTCGTTTCAAGTAAATAGGTCTCCCATGTATTATTTCAAACCTTGCAAAAACAAAAATGAACTTTGTTAAGCTAATAAGTTTTCAAAAACACAATGGGAGCTCATCTCAATAATTATTCTCCTTTAGTTTTTTCTGTGTTATGACTTATCTGGAAAACCTTCTGTGAACGTTTTGAGCGGTTCACTTTTTATGTTTTACGCAATTTGATAGCAGTTCCCACCGTTTAAATTTTAATAAACTTCGTGGCACGGCTCCTTTAATACCCCCTCGGTGTCCTGTGTTCACACTGCTTTGTGTTGTTTGCTTGTTAGCCCACCTGCCATTCACGTAGTGTTCACACTAAAGCTACTTACCTCCAGAATCATATTCAGTGCATTCAGAGTTAAGTGTGGAGCCAGTAATGTGAACACGTGATCAACAACATGGCGAAACAGACTGGTGGGCCGTGTCAGCAAACTTAATAGTACTTCGGTCAATACCTCCACCCAGTGTGGTTCATCTGAAAAACACAAACAATTCACCGTTATTTCAATCAAGTTAACGCATTTTAAGATTTTAAGGTCATCTGGGTAGCAACCTTTTCCTTTCCTTACTTCACAGTTGTCAAAGCCATTGGATGGTAAAGAAACGGGATCATTATACGATTCCGGGAAACTGCCCACCTACCCCTCCCCTAAGCCAACATTAACACTTACATACTTCTCACTTAGGGCGAAATGGTGGCTTAGGGGAGGGGTAGGTGATCTAAAAACGTCACAAACGTCCTTATAGTACCCAAAGAAAGAACTTGCAAGAAAAAAAATCGAATTTTTGTAAATTATCCCAGGAAATACATGACGATGACCAAAGAGGATTTATTTGAATGGTAAGAGCATAGGATTTTATCCACAGATTCAAAAGTTAGAGAGAAAATTATCTCACCATAACTTGGTGTAAGAAGGTTCAAAGCCACCATGTACAACAATAATAGGGAGCTTAAGCAACAACGTTTTTGAGCGACGCACGTCAACCGGAAGTGGCCTTTTTTGATTTTTTGACGGTGGTTTCGCGCAAATTTTCAGTCAAATCGCCTCTATAACAGTAAAGAAGCTAAGGAATACAAATTTTATATCATCAAGGCATGTTAAGAGGGAAAATACCTCACTTCCGGTTGACGTGCGTCGCTCAAAAACGTCGCTGCTTAAGCTCCCTAATATTCAAAACTCTCTTACCGCTATCGTCATCTTTCTTAGATTTGCTTTTCTGTTTTTCATAGCAAGCTTTCAGCTCCTACACATCACCAGCGAAAAAAAATATAAAATGGATCATATTACAAAACTCTAGTTGAAAACTTAGACGACTGCACAACTTGCCCAGTAGCTAATTTGCAGTAGAATTTACACAGTCGGAAAGTTACTGCTATTCCAGCCACAACAACGCTATCGAGTTTTCGGTTTCAAGCGCGCCAAATTTTAATCGTTTGTAATACGGTCAGAACTTCACGATTTTCAGTTCCATAGAATGATACAAATTGTCACAAACGATTTTATGGCAAAAGACTTGCTTCAAGGCTGAGTTTAGTACATTTTTCACGAAACTGTTTCCTTGTTGGTACGCGGTTTGGCGCAGGCTTTCTTACGTTAATCGAAAATAGCTGTATGTACGTGGGCTTCGTCTCGGTGCGTTACGAAAAAACACACCAAGATAGCGACACACCGTTCATATTGCAGCTGATAATCCACAAACATTGTACAAAAAAGACATAGTTTGATGCAGAAGCTGCTTAAAGAAAACAAGTGATATTAATAACGTTTTCACTACACAGCCAAATTTCTTATCCTTTCCTTGATGGCTTTGACCGCGAAAGGCAGAAATCAAAATTACAAAATTACAAAATTGATCATAATCGTGGTCCTATTAAATCGTCATCATCATCATTATCATCATGATTACTATTATCATCATTTCTTATCACTATCAACTTTTAAATCAACTAAAGCAAATGACATTTTGCTGCTGCCGTTCTTTTTTGTCCGTTTGTTTGCTTATTTTTTCTTTATCAAAGCTAGAGGGTCTGAAGCAAATCCTACCTGCAAGATGTCAACGACTTGTTCTGGTTCCGTGAACAACTGAAGTGCCATGTGACAAAAAAGCAGTTCGAACACTTTATCCTCCTGATTGGATCCCTCATCTCTCTTCTTTCCCTGAAAAAAAAAAAAACAAATACATATGACAACTTGGCTGTACATTTATTTCGCCATTTTAGAAGGAAAACATTCACCTTCACCCAGTTCGTAGCGGAAGGAAAATTATGAATTAGCAATGGGCTTTTCATTGAAATTAATACCTTTTTCTGTATCTTCTCGATCACCTTTACTGCACTTCTGAATGCTTTTTCTGTCTGCAATGTAAGGACGTGAGAGAAACGATAATTTTTACCACGCTGAGAATCAAACGCTCTCAACGGCGGGATCTACGATTTACCAAAGAGAAACTGGCATCTCATTTTATGTTGGTATAAAAAGAAGGTTGTCATAATTTCTTTGACATTAAACACCGGAATGATTGGCTACCTGAGAGGGCAAGATGGCCTGCTCGGAATTTCCCGCTTTGGACCAGCAAGAAATAGATCTCTTTTTGGCCATACAATAAATCCTGACCAAGCTTGTTCGGTCAAGATTGCTAGAAACTGGACTTGTTCTTTGCTCGGGATTTCCCACTTTGGTCCCGCAGGAAATAGTTCTCTATTTGTCCTTTATTGACCAAGCTTGTTAGCGCAAGATAGCCAGAAATTGGCCTTCTTGTTTACGTCTTTATTGACCTCGACTTCTCGGTCCATAAACACGCAAAAAAGAACTTGGCCGATATCCAGTCATCTTGACCGAACAAGTTTGCTCAATAATTTAAGTCCCCCTCTCATTAATTAACCTCACCCCCGCCCTTTTTCAGGGGAAGAAACTTAATAAGCCCCCCTGTCTTCTTAGCCCCATCCCCTTATTATTATTATTACTATTATTATTTATTATTATTATTATTATTATTACTATTATTTTACGACAATTCTCTTTCGTACACAAGAAGAATGTACATAGGGTATATATTTTAATATTTCATATTCTTGAATCTGTAAATAGTAAAATTTAATAATTATTATATTTATCATTGGGATGAACATAGAAATTTTCTTTTTTTTTAGTTTATAGACAGTTGTTTACATTTGCTCTGTTGAAAACCACCAGACCACCAAGAAGTCTTTTTTTAACTATAGTTATACTACATTTGTACTTAATCTTCAATTTGAGAAGAGTTTAATAAAGTATTATTATTATTACTATTATTATTATTATTATTATCATCATCATCATCATTATTCACTAATAAATAATAGGCTGCATTGATCAATCAGAACTGCAAAACTTCGTGCGGACTGATCCAGGGTGGTTGGTCACCAGCAGGAAGTTTGGATTTGTTTTCCATCCTCGGCTGCATGACCTCCAGCCTTCTTGTACTTGTGCTTTTCCACTTTGTATTCTACTGCAGTTGTTTACGGAGAACTGACACCATCGTCTTTGCTAAATTAAATAACCCGCCCTCTCTCAAATCGCCCCCACCCTGCTCAAACGCGTTTGAATAAACACATGTAATCCCCCCCCCCGGGGGGGCAGTATTAGCGTACGGATACTGTTCCAGCTCACCTTGTCAGTCCACCTTTTTGACACAACTATGTGTTCATCGCTCTCGAGGAGTTTCTGTATAAAAAAAAAGAACTGCTATCTAAGCAGAGCTCTGGCCAACCTACAAGGGCGCCTCAAGGAAAATGATGCCTGGTTGCAGGAGATATAAAAACTACAAGAGCATTTTAAAACAGAACTTGCCAAAAAAATGGAATTATTTTTTATACACTGTAGGTGTGCTTCGTCTCAGTGCATTATAGCAGAAAACACCAAGATAGCGACACACCATTAATATTGCAGCTTATAATCCACAAACACGGTACAAAACGACACAGTTTGATGCAGAAGCTGCTTTCAACGACCAAGAAAGGTGATAAATTACACTGTAACAGTGAAATGTTAGGGGGTACCAGTTAATTCCTACATAAGCATGTAGACATCGTCATTACTAGGAAAAGCAAAACATACACGTTGCCTCGCTGAAAAAGAAGTTTATATGAATAGAAACCTTAAAATACCATAAAACCGAAGTTACCTTTGCATGGAGTACAATTTTGTAAAGATTTTCCTGTTTCATCCCCTTGCTTGATGAGAGGTCCTTCATCGTACTAATAAATCTCTGTTCACAAACCTCTCTTACTGACGAAGTCAAAGGTAACTAGTGATCATAAAGAGGAATAATTAAAGAGGCTATGTCACGGCAGTCCAGTTCATTTTGTTTAATTTTGACAGTTACTCGCCCTCAATCGCTATCGAACTTAAAGTAAGCAAAGAAATCACATTTAAATGACAAAATCAGTTCCCCGAGACAAACAAATATGTCTCCTGAGCATTACTTTTGAAGTTGCAAGCAGCAGGGATCAACCTTGAAAAACTGTTAGGCTGAACAGTTTTCAAAAATCCTAATTTCAGTCCGTTTCAATCTTCTTCAGTTTTGCCCATCCGTGACATCTGTTGTTTCTGTTATGTTATTTTAACCTTTCTTTAAAGTTTTACGCGGTTATTTTTATGTTTCTCTTGATTCTACGGGCATTTTGTAATTTCCTAATTTGGCTGAATTTCGTGACACAGCTCCTTTAACAAACAACTAACCAAAATACAGCTGTAGGTTATCTAGACACACACTTGAATAATTGAGATAATTACTGATTGAAGATATCACCAATTTGGCCTGGTATTTGGTGAAACACGGTGGCAATGAGGATTTTGGGTTAATGTTTTATTTAACCTAGGTTGATTCTCAATTTCCTTTGTCTCTGGGGCCTAATTCATGAATAATTAGGGCTAAAAGACAAAGGAAATTGAGAATCAACCTAGGTTTAAAAAAATTTAACCTGAAATTAACCCATTCGCCCCTGAACGGCCCGTAACCGCCCGTGCGGATCCAGGTCCTTTCTACCCTTTGTGACGTCATCAGTTTTAACGGTCAAGGACAACTTTCTTCGCTAACTTGTGCAGAGTGAAGAGATCTTTCAAACCATACCAGAATGAGCACAATTCAGTCAAGGACAC